GGCAGAGATTGGAGTGATGCAGCTTGGCCACCAAATGCCAAGGATTGCCAGCAGCCACCAGAAGCTAGAAAAGACTCCTCCCTAGAGTCTTCAGAGGGAGCACTAGGGCTTTGCCAGCACCTTGATTTTGGATTTCTAGCCTCCAGAACTGTGAGAGAATAACTTTCTGTTGTTTAAGCTGCCTAGTTTCTGCTACTTTGTTATGGCAGCTGTAGGAAGTAAATACACACAGTTCCTGCTATATTTCCTCCATCAATTTCTGCAGCTGATCAAATAGCTAAAATTCTGGCCAGTTACCAGGCTTTAGAGATCAAACAATTGGATCAATATCTGACAAGCGCCTATTATGTGATAACACACAAATGCTGAATCTGTGCCTTCTTCTCTTACTGATCTTAAAGTAGTATGGGATTGCTGAGAGGGAACAATGAATGATGTCACCCAACTGAGAAATTAAAAAAGGAGTGCAATATCTGGAGGTCAAAATATGACCTTTATTAATAAAAAAGGCTATGTCAGAGAACATATAATAATATGTAAGCCAGCCAGGCCTATTAATTAAACCCTAAGTGAAAACAACTAGGGTGGACCTCCCTATACTGATGCCTATGTGGATATAAGGTACAAGGCAGCTCATATTCAAGAGGAATGTGGGAGGAGTGGAGCATAGCAAACTCAGCTTATTTCTCCTAAATTTACCAATTAAGTCACTCCTCCTCTGACCAGGGACAGAACATAGTAAAAGCATAGGGAGACCAGACATATTATACCAATTGAGCTTCCTCCCTGGAAGGAAATAGCAGTGAAGAGGCAAGTGTTCCCCTGTAAGATTCAGATATGGGAAACAAGGCATATACATATTTATATGCATGCATATATACCAGTATGGTTTGAATGTTAGAGTTCCCCCAAAATTCATATGTTGGAACCCAATATGATAGTATTAAGAAATAGGGCCTCTGGGAAGTGATCCAGTGATAAGGGTTCCACACCCATGAATGAGATTAGTGCCCTTATAAAGGAGGCTTGAGTGAACTTCCTTGCCTCTTCCACCCTGTGTGGATACAGAAAAGGTGCCATCTATGAACCAACCAGATAGTCCTCACCAGACGCTGTATCTGCTGGTGCCTTGATCTTGGACTTCCCAGCCTCCAGAACTATAAACAATAGATTTCTGTTGTTTATAAATTACCCAATTGAAGGTATTTTTTATAGCAGCCTGAACTAAGACATATACAAACATGTATGTATATATGAATACTAAATAACAATATAAAACAATCCAAGGGATATCACACGATAGGCACATTGCCAAATGTAGTTCATACGGTGTTCAAGTCTGACTGTTCATCAAAACCTGGAGGACATTAAAAAATTACAGATCCTCTGTACTTCCTTCCCCACCTTCAATATGCCTGGCATGCAACTTGGGGATCTATTTTTAAAGCTCCCTAGGTTGGCCGGGCGCAGTGGCTCACGCCTATAATCCTAGCACTCTGGGAGGCCTAGGCGGGTGTATTGCTCGAGGTCAGGAGTTCGAAAGCAACCTGAGCAAGAGCAAGACCCTGTCTCTACTATAAATAGAAAGAAATTAATTGGCCAACTAATATATATAGAAAAAATCAGCCGGGCATTGTGGCGCATGCCTGTAGTCCCAGCTATCGGGAGGCTGAGGCAGGATTGCTTGAGCCCAGGAGTTTGAGGTTGCTGTGAGCTAGGCTGACACCACGGCACTCACTCTAGTCTGGGCAACAAAGTGAAACTCTATCTCAAAAAAAAAAAAAAAAAAAAGCTTCCTAGGTAATTTCAGTGGTACAGGTAGAGGCTGAGACCATTGGTTAGAGGAGTTAGAAAGAAAATAGACAGGAGGGAAGGATTCTCATGAGGATGAACGTGGACAGACATTGCAGGAGAAGTAGAATTGAGGCAGTCAGAAAGGAAGGAGCAAAGCATTTTATGAAGGGATGAGAACAGTAGGACTCCAGAAATAACTAATAGCTCAAGAGTAACCTCAAGATCTTATTTTTGCAAACCCTTGCAGAATTTATCCTGAAAAATGATTGTGCTAATATAGCAATAATAAAGACATAGACAGCATGGTTACACAAAAATATCTTGACTTTGAGAGTTAGGAGCCTTTGGTTCCTGCTATGTGATTTGCCCAGTCACAATGTCCTTCACCCTTAGTTCTGCAAAGGCTGATATTTAAGGATCTTTCTAAATCATCGAATTTGTCAAGATACGGAGTTCCTAAAGCATCTGGAGAGACAGTTCACAGTCTCCCTCAATTCAGGAAATGGCACCACCATTCACCTAGAAACTCGTGCTAAATACCTGGGAGTCATTCTTAATTCTTCTCTTTTCTTCATCTGCCCCCACATCAACTAATCCTGATGATTTGCCTTCCAAAATTTGTCTTAAATCTGTCCTCTTTCACTAACTCCAAGCCACCACCATCTTTTACTTAGATTATCCTAGAGTTTTGGATTCAGAAGTTCTGGAGTAGGGCCTGAGAATGTGCATTTCAAACAAGTTCCCAGGTGATGCTGATGCTGCTGGTCTACAGACCATTCTTTGAGAACCACTGCTTTAGAGTAATGGCTCTCAACCATGAGCCAACATTAGAATCACTTTAAATGCTAATGTTTGCTCATGGATGAGAGAACATCAAATTCTAACGTGAGCTTTAAAGAACAACTATGCTTAGGCCCCACTCCTAGAGATTTTGATTCATTTGGTATGGGGATGAGGTTTGGCCATCTGTAATTTTTAAATCTTCCTAGGTGATTCAAAATGAAATGCACATTCTGAATGAAGAAACACTGCCAAGGTTTACAGGAATGGACAAGTTTATTGGCTTCTCATGGCTTTTGCTCTAACTGTTCCTATTACCTGGTATGCTCTTCCTATAGGGCTTTCCATGGATTCTTGTCATTCGGGACTCAGAATGTCACTTCCTTGTGTGGGCATTCCCTGATCCCCTCAACCCAAAATAACACCCCTACTTTTATCACACCACCCTGCTTGTTTTCATTACAGGAATTAGCAGTTCCTGAGATTTTCCTATCTATGCTTTTTGTATCTTCCAATTTACAAGCATCTTGAATGCAGGCACCTTGTTTGTCTTATTGGGTGCTCTATCCCCAGCACTTAGAACCGTGTCTGGCACCTATAGGTAATCAACACATGTGAAAGAAAGAGGAAAGAAAAAAAAACCTTTAAGAAATTCTTTTAGTTCTATTTTCGACTGAATTTTAATAAAATGTTTAACTTATGCAATAGAATTGAACTATCCATGAAAAAGGTACAGAATTGATTTTTTGTAAATATATCTTAATTGCACTGGGTTCATTCTCTCTTCATAGGAACCCTATATTAAATCTTCAGCGAAGCAAGTAATTATCCCTTAAGATATTTTCATATATGGCATTCCTTCATAATGCTGCTTCTTAGGGAATACAGCTCACACAGTAGGGCAGCTAGGTATGCCCAGGATATTTTTATTGAATCAAGGGATTGCTGCTTAGATTTGTTTATTTTTGGAGACAGAAGACAGGGAACAGTAATTTCTAGAAGAGTAGAAAGGTAACGCAGAGAGCAACAGTTACAGGAAAACGGGAAGGCTGTGATACCTTCTAAAAGAGGGACACATTTATCCTCTCCTCTTCTGGGGGCACCTCTTTAACGAATGAATGTAATCTGGCGCAACTGGTGAGTTTTAATTACAGGTGGAGAGATAGGGTGCTTGAGATTATTGAATTCAGTGTCTTGTTTCACAGAGCTTTGTTCAAGTCAGTGCAGCAAAATCTTCATCTATGGGTCACCTGTCATTTGGTCTCAAGGAAGCAGCTGAGTCAAACTTACAACTCAGGTAGGTGAATTAAGGGACTACAGATGTCCTTAAGTCACCCGCGGGCCATTTCTGAACCGTATCACCTGTGAAAACATACAACATAACATCTGTTCCGGGGGGTGGGGCGAGGGGGAAGGAGGCTCCTCGTCCTTGACCCCTCTCTTTGGCAGGGACCCGAGTACTTCCTCAAAAGTCCCAAGAATCCGACCTTCGCCCTCGGCAATAGGACTAGCTCAAGAGCAACCAGTTTTTCAGGCAGCCACCTCCTTTCCTCCCGTACTTGGTCGATCGCAGCTTGAAACAAAACGACTCTGTGTGTAGAGTAAGGGTTGAAATCTCACTGTCGCTTCGGCAGGAGGGGCTGCCAACTTCGCGGGTCTAGTGAATACTATGCCGCCGTCGGCAGACAGAGGCGACGGCTTGAGGAAGGCCCAAGGGCGGCCGGGGGGGGGGGGGGGTTGCGGCAAGGCCCTTGGGCGGGGGTTGCTTTTTGGGGTTTTTGTTCTTGGCGGGGTGGGTCCCCCCACACCCACCAGGCTCCGCACTCCATTTCCCAGCGGCCCCCGCGCCGCGGAGGAGGCAAACGGAGGGGGCGCTAGGTGATGAGCAGCCGCGGGGGGAGGGGGCCTGGGGCTGTGAAGCAGCTGCAGCCTCTGCCAGGAAACGTTGACATTTGGCGTCTCTGGGGACTGCGGGACCCTTGGGCGGGCGGCGACAAGGGCCTTGTGGCTGTCGAGTGCTCTTGTGCTCTTCCTGTCTCCTCCCCACAGGCGCGCGGCGTCTGCCATGGAAGCGCGTCCGGCCGTCGCCAGGGTTCCCGAACGCCGCGGCCCGGGTTCCCCCGAGCGATGAGTGGGTAGAAGCGCCCCGCGGCCCGCCTGCTTCCCGCGCTCCGGCCGCCGGGGCGAGAAAGAGGGCCGGTTGGGCGGCGTTCGCGGTGCCCGCCCTTGCGCCGCCCCGCCCCGTGGGGGCGCTGCCGAGGGGGCGCCCGCCGCCCATGCCGCCCCGGCGCCCCGCCGCGCCCGGCGCCCGCCGCTGAAGCCCAGGACGCACCGCCTGCCAGCCCGCGCCCGCCGTCCTGAGCCGGCCACCTCCACCCCCCAAGATGTGGCACAACGTCGGGCTGTCACAGCGGGTGGTCCCCAGGACTAACCCAGCGGCACACAGAGAGTCGGATAATCAAAGTTTATTCGCTGGCGGGCTCAGCGGGGTCTCGCCCCCCATTTTTGAGCCCCGTCTTACCCGGTTTTTCACACTTTTATTAAGTTGGGGTGGTCCAGGGGGTGGGATATCAGGTGACTAATGGTTAGTATTGTGATGATGCACCAGGTATTCGTTTAGTTGATAGGCCAGGTAATAGGTTTAGTGTTACGCTGATGCGCCAGCTAATAGATCATTTGCTGGGCCAGCTGATACGTTAGTATCATGCTGGTGCGGGCCTTCCCTGAGGGGTGAGGGTCTCAGTGGTTGATGCGCCGCCAAGTAATAGATGGGGGTTTTCCTTACCAGGGCTGACCCTGCTCATGTTCGTGGCCACGCTGCTGATCATCCTGCTGAGAGGAAGCTTATCTCAAGATAATGTTAGAGTGGGGGCGTCCGCAGCGGGGGCAGTTCCACACGCCAGGGTGCTAACTTGCTTGTTCTGTCTGTTTTTTTGTTTGTGTTTTAAGCGTGGCTGGACAAGTGTCTTAAAATCAGCTGTGTCCCCTTTCCTCTCAGGAGTGAGCAGAGGAAATGTGTCCCTGACCCACGGCAGGCCCGCGGGCATCCTCAGAGGGAAAGGACAGGATCCAGGGCTGGGCATCTTGTCTCTGGGTTAAAGCAGATATTCTCCACCGGCAGCGTCCGCTCTAGATTGCTGTTCTTGCCACGGTCTGCCCAGATTTTAACCTTAGCCTGTATTCGAAGGTGAAGTGATTGGTTACTCCTTTTTCTTTCTCACAGGTCTGACCTTAATGATAATGAGAGGTTTCACTACCTTTATTTAATCTGGGAGTAGCACAGAGTTGTGCTTTCAGCACACGTGAAATTGTTTACTTGGAGTTCAGGCTTAAACCAAATTCCAAGCAGAGGTGTTGAGACCAGGCAGAACTTAAAAACACCGGCTATATTAAACGTCCAGGGTCGGGTAACCTAACCCTTAGTTCTGTAATAATGGTGCTATTTTGTTTGCTGTGGGTATTTTTTTCCTTGGAATGAGAAGAAGCTTATCTCAAGATAATGTTAGTGCAATTTTAGCTCTTTCTGGTTTCTTTATACACAGTAACTGATAACCACAGGTCTCTTAGCAAAGTGGCTGAGCAGTTGTGAAAATCTGAAAAGAATTTAGAACAGATGTGAGTTTATTCATATTCACAGGACTGAAGTATGGGTTCAGGTTGATGCAGTAGTGGTCAGAATTCATAAAAATACTATAGGGCTTATTCAGTACACGATTAAAGTACTAATGAATGCTTAGATCTCTACTTGGAGAAGATACATGTGTGGGCTTGTGCATGTGCATGTGTATGTCTTTGTATTTATATACCTGTATGTATATTTAAATTTTGTTGTGTTTCACTATGATTGCAGAGTTAAAGCTTCTAACTTGCAGCCTTTCTTTTCTGATGAGATAAAGCAGTTGAATAACCTTTCATAATTTTCCCCTGAAGTTGACATTTTGAGCTAATTGTAGATGTTTAAGGTTCTTTAAGTAGGGAAAACAAATCTTTGATTTATTTGCATGTGGGGAAGGAGGAAAGAGTGTGTTGTCCTTTCTAATTTGAACATGCAAGCTACCTGGATGTGGGAATATGACCTATAGACGCTACCACACCTTGGATAGGATTTGCCAAATTTACCTTTGGGGCATCAGAATTCCTAATTGGTCTCTCCTCTCTCAACAGCTATTTGATGATTTAATTTTATTCAGTTTTCTAAAAATGCCTTTAGTTTCAGAAAACATTATGGAATAAAACATGAAGTGTCCTAGGTAAAAAGAACATCTTATTTTGGTTGGAATGATCAATAACTAATAGCTCTGTAAAGAAGTAATCCAAATACTTTTTTTGTTGAGAGAACTAAAATAATGGGGTAACCTCATATTTTGACTAGAATGGGACTGGGATTTGGGGAGAGGAGGGAAGATCTGACCAGACTTGAGAGAGAAACTAGGGCGCTATTTCTAGGGCTGCCATAACAAAATACCACAGGTGGGTGTCTTAACAGAAATGTATTTTTTTTACAATTCTGAAGGCTAGAAGTCTAAGACTGAGGTATCAGAAGGATTGATTTTTCTTCTGAAGCCTCTCTTGTTGGCTTGTAGATGGTGGTAGTCTCCGTGTGTCCTCTTGTGGTCTTTCCTCTGTGTGTGTCCCAATCTCTTCTTATGAGGACACCAGTTACTGGATTAGGGCCCTTAGGTGGTGGTCCACTCCCTGGGTCTTCATGTGGTCTTTGTGTCTATGTCCTAATCTCCATTTATTGGGACACCAGTCATTGGATTAGGGCCCTCACCCTTATTTTCTGATTTAATATTAATGACCTCTTTAAAAGACTTATCTCCAAATACGGCATAGTCATTGAGGGTTAAGACTTCACCCTGTGAATTTGGGCGCACAAAATTTAGTCTGTAACAAGCACCATGTCTTCAGCACTGGCTAAAAGGTGGAGAGCAGCTGGATACCTTAGGTGTAAGCCCATAAAACCATCCTTCTTACCTTTCTCGTGATCACAAGCTTTTTTGAGAATCTGGTGAATGCTGTGAACCACCTCCCCACCTTTTTTTTTTTTTTTAAAGAAAAATGCACGGATACATTCCACTCCCTCTGCCCCCTTTGAGAGATTTCTTGGACTCCTCTTCCTTACTCCCAAATATAGAGATCAGATTAAAAGCCTCTGCCATTTGGGTTGGGTTGCTTTGTTTTCTGATATCATTCAATTCAGCAAACTGAGTGCTGAGTGTCTGCTAGGAACTGGGAACACAGAATTTGTGACAGGAGTCTGTCCCAAGGAATTGATAGCTTAGTTTGCTTTAAAACTCTGACAGACTCTTTCACATAGTGAATTTTGATTTTCAGATTTTAGGTTCCTAGGGAGGTTTTCCTTCTCCTGTCTACATAGACTGTCTCTGCTTTCTCACCTCTCATTCATTCTAAAATGTTTTCCACTTCTACTAAAGCTACTCTTGTCGAGATCAATAACAAATGGTATCTGTATTTCCAAGCTCCTGGTGGTCACTTAACAGTGCTAATTGAACTCAACCTCACATACTCAATTCTCTACAGTACAAGTACAGCATAAAGATATTTGAGAAGCATTTCTTTTGGCTTTTGTAAGTTGTACTTCCATGATGTTCTTCCTACCATAGTGGCTAATTATTTATTTTTTCTTAGGTTCTCATCCCCTAGAATTTCATAACTTTTTTAACCACAAACTATAGTAGGAAGTATATTATTCCTTGTACATTCATAAGTATATAAATTATGTCAATCAGTTTATATCTATCATGTCTCTAAAATAAAAAGTTTATGAACTAGTGCTTGCCTTTACTCCATGAGATGATTCTATTTTCTATTTTTTCTGTTATATCTATATAATATAATAAAAATGTATTTCTACTTTATTTTTCTCTTACCTATTCTCTCCCTGTGGTATCTTATCCAATCCTAGAGATTTAAATACCAACTGTAACTAGTGAGTCTAAAATGTATGTCTCTAACTCTCACTTCTCTCTGGAGCCCCAGGCTCAAACATCAGACTTTTTTATTGATATCCCGACTTGGAGATCTAATAAGCATCTGAAATTTAATACATCTAAAATAGAACTCTTGAGTTCTACCACCTGTTCCTCCCTCTAATCTATCCCATCTAATGTATTAACCTGCTTCCACTCAGTGGTTCCAGCCAAGGGCTTAGGTGTCATCCTTGATTTTTGCCCTCTCCTTTACTTTCCAGCCTTCTCTACAAAAACTCATCAATTCCATGTGCAAGTCTTCTCCCTTTTATATCTTTAAAAAATTAGAATTATGTTATCTTCTCCATGACCACCACCATCACCGTCTTTGCCTTGCCTTAGTTTCCTAACTAGCCTTTTTTCCAACTCTTCTTTATAATTTACTTTTTGCATACTAGTCAGACTGTTCTATAAAGGAAATATTTTGTCAGAAGTTTTTAACAGACGACATATTGTTTCAAAAGTCCATAGTACTTATAACAAGTAGTTCCTTTCAACCCTCAGTTTCACTATTCTCCTAGTTATTCCATATTTCCAAATAACATATTCATAGTAATGAATTTTTTACAATTTTAGACATTATTAACCTTGGTAGCCCATTTCTTTCCATGCTTGCCATTAATAACATAATTTTTGCTAATTTAACAGGATTTATATTTTGATTGTGTGAATATTATACCGTGCTGGTCAAATAGTGTAATATGACCACACACCTCATTTCTTATATGGCTCTTCATTTTTCTTGAGGTTAATACATAATTGCCTTTTTAATTTACATAGTATTTTTTTGTATGTTTCATGGTGCTTCATTGCATTTTGTCTCCAATTGTTAGCTCCTCTCCTGCCATCCAGATTTTTGTTTGCTTTGCTAGACCACTTACCACTTGTCCTCAGAGTAATATTTTTAAATGTCCTTGTTTAAAACCTATTCTCTGATGGTTTCCCATTTCTCCTGAAATACAATCTAGATTTCTTACTATGACCTATAAAGATTATGTAAGTACTCCCACCTACCTCTCTGACTTCATCTCTCCATTCTCCCCACTACTCATAACATTCCAGGAACAGACCATTCTTATACCCTCTGCAGGGCCTTTGTTCTCAGTCTTTCTCTTGCTCTTCATATGGCTGGTTCTTTTTCATTCAGGTTTCATATCAAATGCCAACTCAGAGAGACCTTCCCTGACCACCTGCAGTAGTTTGTTCAGTCACTTTATCTCATTTACTGGTAGTTTTCAGAGCACTTAACACTGTCTGAAATGAGCTGTTTTTGAGTTTGTTTCCCCTAATTAGAGTGTAAGGTTCTTGAAGTCATGGACCTTACCTGGCTTACTCATTGCTCTATCCCTGGATGTTAGAATAGTGCCTGGCACATACTAGGCTCTCATATGTTTAAAGAATGAATGAAAAAAAAAAAAGAATGAATGAAAAAAGATTCCTCATTTTAAATCGTTAAATTCCCATTACAAAGAAGTCTTCTTCTTATTTTTTAGCTAAGTACAAACATGTATTGTTCATGGGAATAACTCATTCTTAAACTAAAAAAATTTTATTGTGGTAAAAACACATAACAAAATTTACGATCTTAACCATTTTTAAGATAGTTTAGTAATGTTAAGTATACTGACATTGTTGTGAAACAATCTCTAAAGGACAATTTGTTTTTGACTGACTGCTGTTATTCTACAAATTCTTTTTTTTTTTTTGAAACAGAGTCTTGCTCTGTTGCCCGGGCTAGAGTGCAGTGGTGTCATCATAGCTCACTGCAACCTCAAATTCCTGGGCTAAAGCAATCCTCCCGCCTCAGCTTTCCCAGTAGCTGCAAGTAAGGAATTATTCAAAGATCAATGGGATAAGATTAGAGGCAGTTCAAAAGGGCTCCTAATAGCTAAAACTGTCACAATTTGACCATAAAAAAGAATATTGTTGACTGAGACACTGATCCTATGAAAATCTAAGTTTATAGATGATAATAAAAAAATGAAAAAATGAGGAAAAGAACTCATCTTGGTGGATTTTATACTAACTCTTTACTTTGAAAATTGGTAAAGGGAAGAAGGCATTTATCCTGCCTTTTTAGTAGGAATTGTCATTTCAGTAACCAGAGTCCCAGCTGATGAAAGAAAACTCTACAAGACTGGCAGTTAGTAAAAATAAGAAATTACAACTGAAAATAATCAATTTCAACTTCGGACATAATACTGACCCATGCAAGGATTATCAACTGATAAACTGTTCAGATAACTGAACAACTTTGCAGTGCCAAAGTAGTACTACACAGATAACCTCTAGATTGCAAGAGGAAAGATCTACTGGTTACAAAGAAAGATCATGTGGCTACCACCCTGATCTAATGCTCAACTCAGCTTCACTAAGGATGGGGCAACAAGAGACTGTGTTTCTTGATGTAATAAAGGAAAAAGTACTTATTAGCTATGATGTATGCTATCAGCCAAAAATAATTAAATATAATCAAACCTATAGATTTAACATCCAGTGTAGCTTGACCTGGTTATAAATTTAAAAGGACTTAAGAGATATAACAACCAGATGCAGTTCATCACCCTGCAGTGGAAAAAATCAGTTGTAAAGGATATTTTTCAAACAATGGGAGAAATTTCAATGTGACTATTATATGTAATAAAATAATAACTTTCTAAATGTGATGTTATTTCAGACCAGAAAATGTTATTTCTTTGCAAACTGAAATATTTTAGAGGTAAGTGTGTCATAGCTGTAATTAAAGTATCTCCACATTAAAAAAGTTAAAAAATGACTTTTGTATAGTAAAGGATTATACATTCGAAAACAGCCAGCTATACTTATTTTTTCTTACCCTTCTTTCTCCTTGAACTCTAGCCCCTGACCCTTTGGAAATGCTCTCTCATGGATATCACAGCATGAGAACTCTTTGATTTCACAGGGTGAGGCTAAACTAGAACCCCCCAGGCTCTAGGGTGTGATACAAGTAATAATAGGGAGAAAAGAGTGTGTTTGTGTGTGTTATGTAATGTCTTCCAGCCATTTTCAAATCATAAAAACAATTTAAAAATAACATGCCTCTCAATGATAAGCTCGTAGAGGACAATGCCTCAAAAGATTCTTGAATCTGATAAATATTTTATCATCTTAATTGGGTAACTAGATTAGCTTAATGCTCCTTAGAAGCTCTGTTATTGCTTGTAAAGTTTTTTCAAAACAAGAGATTCACTTAAACATGAAAAGGGAAAATAGAAGTAACTTTGGTGGTAGATACGTTCCCATGGTCCTAAAGCAAACTCAGGCTGGATAATCAGATTTTGAGAAAGATAAGCAAAATATTGTTAAAAAAAAAACCCACTTAGTGATGTTAACTCTACCCATCTTTAAGTATTAAGTCTCACTGGGAAAAACACATGGACTTTATTATAATGAGACAAACCTTGTTGTGAGTCTTGGCAAGTTTCTTCTTAGGAGCAATTTCCTCATCATTAAATACACAGCTTCTTATCCTGCAGAGTAAATGCCCAGTGCACAAAGGACATGCAACATATGTTAAAGTCTTTCATTCATGAAGGCCTCCTCTGACTTCTAATAGGATCCTTTTTCCTAACTTTTAAACTGTCCATGTTGTTATAACAATCACATACTGCCTCTGACTATTCAAATTATTTTTATATGTACTTCACTTCCTTAAGCAGAAATGTAAATACCTGAAAAACCTGGAATATTCCAAACTTTTAACATATCACTCATAACCTATAGCAGAGTAGGACACATTAGATATTCAATACTTGCTGAATATAGTTATACTCAATCTGAATTTTGCTCTACAAGCATAATAATTCTAAGCTTTTAAATTCATGGACAAGGGACAACAATGTCAGGAAGGTACTATGAAACCAACTTCTCACACTCTTTGTCATGTAAGAATTTTTTTGAAGGGATGGCTCCATAGCTGTTACTTTGACTTTAGTTTTTAATTATATTTTTTATGCTTTTAAAATGTAGATTTAGCTAATTCTCTAAGACATTTAAAATTTAACTATTTTATGAAGAACTTGAAATAGACCATGGTCTATATTTTAATTCGATTATTCTTATCATACTCAGTATCAGGACAATATGTGTAAATGTAAGAAATTAGTAGCTATAAAGATGATTTGAGCTACCACCTATGCTATACATCCTGATGTCTCCAAATCTTTATTCAGACATGCTCTAAAGCAGAACTTTAATGCTTCCTGGACATCCTTATCTGGGCATCCCAAATGCTTTTCACACTCATTTCTAATCCAAACTGATCTTTCCCCCATCCATATATGCTTCTCTTCCTCAGATTTTAGGGTATCATCTTCCATCCAGCTGCCTAAGCTCAGAATGCTATTTCACTAACTCCTAACACATCCTGTCACCAAAAGCCCTGTCTGCTCCACCTCTGAAGTACCTTTCTACTCCCTTTTACTCTTATCACCATTGGCTCTTCTTAGGCCCTAATGATTTCTCCTGTGCTTTACTGAAATCATCTAAATTGGTATCCCTGCTTCCAGTAGTCTTCCACAAAGCTACTATAATTCCTTTTTAAAACACGAAATTGGAATTCCTCTGTGTTGAAGTGACAGCTCTCTTTTATCTAGAAGTCAAAAGTCCTTAGCATAGCACACAAAACCCTGAAGACTCCTTCTCACCCATCTTTTCAAGACTTCAGTCAAATGTCAGCCCCTCCTGTGAATGATTTCCTACTCCCTAGATGGGGAAGGTCCCTCCAGTGCTCATATTACTTTGCACCCATTTTTATTAAAGCAGCTCACCACATTGTAATTATCTTTCAAGAGAAAGCTAGCTCACACAAAGCAATATGGAAAACAATTCAGGAAAAGGACTTGATCAGCCAATTCACAGGAAAGAAATACTAAGCAGCCAATGTAGTCTTCTCTTGGTATCAGCAGGGAATTGGTTCCAGGACACTCCCACATACCAAATCTGCACAAGTATACTACCATGTTTCCCCGAAAATAAGACCTACCCATAAAATAAGCACTAGCAGGATTTCTAAGCATTTGCACAATATAAGCCCTATCCTGACGAAAATAAGACCTAGTGATGGACGTGGCTATGTAGTGTATCTGCACAACCCATGCATTTTGTCATGGAGCAGTAAAGAAGTCAAGCAGCCCTTCTCATCTGCCCCATGAGAGCTCTATTGCTCCACATGAGAGACTGGGGCCAATGGTTCCAAAGGCAATAGAGTCGCAAGAAATTCAGGATGGAATTCGGGGTTTGGAGAGTTATGATCATGTTCCAGAAGAAGACGACTTAACTATATTTGAATAAATGTAGATTGTTGTACTGTACTTAAAAAAAAATAACACATCCCCTGAAAATAAGCCCTAGGGTGTCTTCTTGAGGAAAAATAAATATAAGACCCTGTCTTATTTTCGGGAAACACGGTACTTAATGCCTTGCAGCCAGCCCTGGTTACAAAAAGTCGGCCCTCCCTATATGTGGGTTTTGCATTCCTCAAATACTGTATTTTCAACCTGAGTTTGGATGCAGATGTGGAACTTGCTGATATACAGAGGACAGACTATATTTACTGAAAAAAATCCACATATAAGTGGACCCTCGCAGTTCTAACCTGTAAAATTTACCCGGGGGCAGTCATCTAAATATTCCTTTCTCATCTGCCCCCACACCAACCAAATCCTGATGATATTCTCCCAAATTGGCCTAATCTGCCTCTTCACTAACAGCCAAGCCACACCATCTTTTACTAATTGATCCTAGAGTTTTGGGATCAGAATTCTGGAGTAGGGCCTGAGAATGTCATTTCAACAAGTCCCCAGTTAACGAGCTGTGCTATCAGACCATTCTGAGAACCGACTGCGATAAGAATCAAACGGCTCCAAACAAGAGCAACATAAATCACTTAAATGCAATGTTTGCCATGGATATAAGAACATCAAATTTATGTGAGTTTAAAGATATCTAATTAGTGCTAGACCACTCTCTATGAGATGTTGATTCATGGTAGGGATGAGTTGGCCATCTGTAATTTTATCCTAGGGGATCAAAAAAAGTGCATCCTGAAAGAAACACTGCCGAAGTTAGAAGGATGGCAACAAGTATTTGCTTCTCATGCTTTTGTCAACTGTTCCTAACCTGGTATGCTCTTCCATAGGCTTCCTATTGATTTGTCACGGACCAGAATGTCACTTTCCTTGTGTCGCATTCCCGAATCCCTCCAACCCAAAAAACACCCTACTTATCACACCCACCTGCTTTTCATCACATTCCTGAGATTCCTATCTTCTTGTCTTCCATTATGAGAGCATTATGAATCCAGGCACCTTGTTTGTCTTAGCATCATCCCCCCCAAAAGCCAGAAAAAAAAAAGATATCGTTTTAGAACGGTTCACCTATAGGTATAGCGGAACACAGTGAATAGAAAAGGAAAGAAAAAAAACCTTAAAGAAACTTTTAGTTCTATTCCGACATGAATTTAATAAATTAACTATTAAGAATTGTACTATCCCCAATGAAGCAGATAGATTGTAAAATACCAATCACGCTTTCCTATCTCATCTTCATAGGACCTATATTAAGATCTCAGCGAACAAGAATATCCCCTTAAGAATTTCATATATAGGCAGATCCGCATAAATGCTGCTCTATAGGAAACAGCCACACACATAGCGCGAGGCTAGGATCCCAGATTAGAATCAAACAGGATTTCTCCGTCTGTGTCTTATTCTTTGTAAGACAGAAGCAGGAACAGTAATTCGAGAAGAAGTAGAAAGGTAACGCAGAGACACAGTTACAGAAACACTGAAGGCTGTGATACCTTCACAACAGAGGGACACAGTTTATCCTCCCCTCTCTGGGCACCGCTAACGAATAATTATGGCGCAACTGTGATTAATACAGTGGAGAAGTAGGTTGCTTGAATTATTGAATTCAGTGTCTGTTCACAAGCTTTGTTCAAGCGTGCAACAAAACTTCATCATGGCAGGTCACGCGTGTGGTCTCAACCACAGCATGAGCAAACCTACAACTCAGGTATGTGAATAAGGACAAAACAGAGTCCGTAAGTCACCCGCGGGCCCATTCTTGAACCGCATCTACACTGTGAAAACAACAACATAACATCGTTCCGGGGTGCGAGGCGAAGGAGCCACCGTCTGACCCCCTCTCTTCGTGGCAGACGAAGATAACACACAAAACCAAGAATCCGACCTTCGCCTCGCAATAGACGAGCTCAAGAGCAACCAGTTTTCAGGCACCACCTCCCTTTCCCCACTTGGTCCGATCGCACTGAAACAAAACGACTCTGTGTCGTAGAGTAAGGTTAAGATCACGTCGCCCGCAGGAGGCGCCAACTCATCCGCGGGTCCTGTGAACACTATGCCAGCGCGCAACAGAGCGAACGGCTGGGAAAGACTCATAGAGGCAGACAGGGCGAGAGAGGGTGCAGCCAAACGCCCCGAGCCGGCGGGCATTCGGGAGATACAACAAGGGCCAACACACACACACCCCCAGGCAAACCGCACTCCATCCCAGCTGTCTCTCCCCCCGGAGGAGGCAACGAGGGCGCTAGGATGACAGCCGCGGGGGAGGGCGGCTGGGAAAGCAGTCCGCAGACTCTGCCAGGGAAACTGTGACATTTGGCGCATCTGGGACTTGCGGGACGCTGCTGGCGCGGCGACAAGGCGTAAATGTGGCTGTCGAGGCTCCTTGTGCTCTTCCTGTCTCGCGTCCCCACCGAGCCGCGGCGTCTGCATGAAGCGCGTCCGACCCTCCTAGGTTCACGAATCCCAGCGCCCGGTTCCCGGCCGACGTGAGGACAAGCGCGGCCCGCCTCTCCGCGCCCGGCCGCCGCGAGAAAGAGGGCCGGTTGGGCGCGTATAGGCCGCCTGCGCGAAGCCGCCCCGTGGGGTCCGCTGCCAGGGCGCCACCCGCCATAAATGCGACACAGAATTTGCAACCCGCCGCCTCGCCCGCCGCGAAGCCCAGACACCGGCCAGCCCGCGCCTCTGTCCACCGGCCACCCCAAGATGTGCACAACGTCGGGCGTCACAGCGTGTCCAGACTAACCTCTATTACAGAGAGTCGAGTAATCAAAGGTTATCGCTGCGGCTCAGCGGGTCTCGCCCCATTTGAGACCGTCTTACCGTTTCACACTTTATAAGGTTTGGGTGTCAGGGGTGGATGATCAGGTACTATATGTTACTGTATTGATGATGACCAGGTACTGTGTTAGTTATAGCCAGGTAATAGGTAGTGATCGCGATGCGCCCAGCAATAGACATGTTGCTGGCCTACGATACGGTAGTACCATTTGTCTGGTGCGGGCTCCCTGAGGCTGAGTCTCGTGTTAGCGGCCAAGCAAAGATGGGGTTTCCTACCTAGGTGCCTGACCCTGCCATTTCGTTGCCACGCTGCTGACAATCCTGCTACCAGAAGCTATCTCAAGATATGATGTTAGAGTGGGAGGCTCCGCAGCGGGGCAGTT